GGGAGTGTCCCCTGTGCAGAGCCGTCTCCCTCCTCTTGCAGGGACCCTCCTGAGGATTCTGCTCCCCTCGCAGGGATCTCTGTGGGCTGGGGAGGGGGTGATGCTCCCACTGCCCCGTGCAGCCCCAGGTTGCAGCCAGGCTGATTCCTGCACCCAGCTCCCAGCAGGGAGAAAGGAGGGGTGCCAGCCTTGGCTCCCTGGGTGTCACCCCGCTCTGCCCTGTGGCTGGGGCACAGTGCAGCCCCCAGCCCCACATCCTGCTCCAGCTTGGGCCAGGGCATCTACACCTCTTGGAGCCGTCCCTCCAGCATGGCTCGAGGTGCTGGGGTGCTGCAGACAGGGATTAACGGGGCTTTAATCCCCGCCCAGCTGAGCCCGGTGCTAATCGGCGATGGAAAAAGCGCCATCTCCCTAACGAGGCTGGAGAGGCTGGGCCAGCCCCGCTGTCACACGGGCGGGAGCCCAAACCTCTTCCAGATGTGGAATCCCAGCACAGGCCTCATTTATGTGCACAGCTTGATTGCACTGAAATTACAGATTGTCTGCAGGGAATAGAGGGCTTTGACTTATGACCAATTTCCAGTTCTACTTGAACTCCCCGCTCCAAGGCCGCTCTATCCTGGGCCCTGCAGATGGTTTCTTTTTCAAACCTTCTTCAGSTTTTTATTTGTTGTTGATGGGGCAGCAGCTCCATCAGGTTTGGGTTTTTCAGAGCTGCAGGTCGTGCTGCTGCCCCGGTGTGTCGGAGCATCCTGGCCCCGGCCGAGGCTTCGCCCTCTCTCCGGGGCTTCTTTTTCCTGTGCTAACAAAAGCCGAGGGTTGGAACAATAATTTTCACCATCCGAAATAGCCCGGCGTGACGTGAGGCTGGAGGAAACGCCCGGGCACGGCTCAGGGAGGGGAAGAGCCCCTGAGCACCCAAACAAAGCGGGGAGGGGGGGAACCCATGGGGCCCCATTGGGTTGGGAGATGTGGGGTCCCCTCTGGGATGTTCTGGGGTCCTCTCTGGGATGCTGTGGGGTCCCCTCTGGGATGTTGTGGGGTCCCCTCTGGGATGCTCTGGGGTCCCTTCTGGGATGCTGTGGGGTCCCCTCTGGGATGTTCTGGGGTCCCTTCTGGGATGTTCTGGGGTCCCCTCTGGGATGTTGTGGGGTCCCCTCTGGGATGTTCTGGGGTCCCTTCTGGGATGCTGTGGGGTCCCCTCTGGGATGTTCTGGGGTCCCTTCTGGGATGTTCTGGGGTCCCCTCTGGGATGCTCTGGGGTCCCCTCTGGGATGCTCTGGGGTCCCCTCTGGGATGCTCTGGGGTCCCCTCTGGGATGCTCTGGGGTCCCCTCTGGGATGTTCTGGGGTCCCTCTGGGATGTTGTGGGGTCCCCTCTGGGATGCTCTGGGGTCCCCTCTGGGATGTTGTGGGGTCCCCTCTGGGATGTTCTGGGGTCCCCTCTGGGATGCTCTGGGGTCCCCTCTGGGATGTTGTGAGGTCCCTCTGGGATGTTCTGGGGTCCCCTCTGGGATGCTCTGGGGTCCCCTCTGGGATGTTCTGGGGTCCCCTCTGGGATGCTGTGGGGTCCCCTCTGGGATGTTGTGGGGTCCCTAGGGGAATTCAAGGCTCCTTCTGGGAACTGTGGGGTCCCTCCTGGAATGTGGGTTCCCCTTGTGGGTCCCCATGGGACGCTGCAGAGCCCCCCTGGGATTCTGTGGGGTCTCTCTGGGTTGTGCCTGTCCCCCCATCCCACTGCCGCCCTTTCTCACTGCCAGAGCCTCCAGCACCTCTCGGCAGCCCCGGGGCCCCTCTTTTCCCTTCCCAAAATCCCCGTGCAGAGCAGGGAGCCGCGCTCGGGGCTCAGCCTGTGCCGTATCTGCTCTCGGCATATGCTTTGAATTACTGGCCCGGGAGAGCAGAGCGGGCCCGTCCCGCCCCCAGCGCGGCCCCCCCGGAACCCCCACGCCGCTGCCGGCCCTGCCCTGCCCTGCCCCGCCTGGGGAGCCACCGTCTCCCCGCGTCCTTTTTTGGTTGGGTCCAGAGGAAGTTTATTGTTTCAGCAGCCCAGTTTCTGGAGCTGTTATTTATCCAAGTGGATTCCAGCACGCTTGAAAAAACAATCTTTTTTTTTTTTTTTTTTTTTTTTTTTTTTTTTTTTCACTTTTGGCTCTCCTCTTTTTGAGATGAAGAAAGAGAAGAAGAAGAAGGGATCTGTATCTCGCTGCTGGCAGCCTGGCGGGCTCCAAGCCCCGGCGCAGGGGGTCTGGACAGGGACTCTGCGCCCCTTCCCGGCCCGATCCCCCCAGGGTGGGAGGGAGGATTCTCCTCGGGGCTCCCCCCGCATCCYCCATCGTTTCCGTTTGACTCCACGCTCCGGTCCTTAATCCCCGCATTGTCCGGAGGGACTTTTCCAGCCGCCGCTCAATTAGCCGATTATTGTCGCCTGTCCCCGGCAGGAGCCCCCGCCCGCCCACGCTCGGAGGGTCCCGGGGCTGCGGGCAGGATCAAGGTGCCCTTTTGGGTGGAGAATGGTTGGGTTCTGGGACCCCCAACCCTCCTGCATCGCCCCAGGCCTGGGCTGGGGGCTCCTCTTGGCTGTTTCTGTGCCCGCCGAGCCCGCAGGTGGGTGGGATGTGAGGGCCCCGCGTCCCCTCTGCACCCCCAGATCTCGGTGGGGATTTTGGAACGTTCTGCAGCCCTGCCTGGATCTCCAGCCCACGGCAGCAGCCGTGTAGTGTAGTGTACAAAATCTAGATCTGGCCTCGGTGAGCTGGGTCAGTGGAGATGGTTTACAGCTCCATCCCCTTCCCCAGCTGACCCTTCCAGCAGGGGCTCTGCAGTTTGAAATGCTCCGGGGGGCTCCGGGTCCATTCCCAAGTGTCACCGTGGCTCGTGACCCCCACGTACGGATTTGGGGTGGCCTTTTGGGACACTGATCCCATTGTATTTTGGGGCTCTCAGTTAATATCCCATGAGGGGACAGTGCCAAGGACCCACACACGGCTCTGCTGCCTGTGGACACGCGGGAATGGAAAGTACCACGGAGCCTGATGAGAACTTCCTGGGGAAAAAAAAACAAAAAAAAAAAAAAAAAAAAATCAACCCAAACAGAAAACCATTTGGAACATAATATCCATGAAACTGGAGAAAACAAAACAAACCCGTGTCAGAGGATGTGGGTTGGAACTGGGGAGTGCGACCCAGATGGCTTCTGTGGGACAGGGAAGGAAGGAGCCAAGATCCCGACCCAGGAAAAGTTTCACTGGGGAAAAAAGATTTGGGCACTGTCCCTGTCAGCGCAGCCTCTTTGTGCCAGCYCCTCCTTTTAGTCGAGGATCTCTTCTCCTTCAGAAAGGGCAGAGCTGGGCAGTTCCCGCACCTCAGGGTGCCCTGAGCCGTGCTGGGGTCCCGGCCCTTTCCTGGGGTGCTCCAGGGGTGGCTTTGCCCCGGGTGTTTGGGATCACAGGGCAGCCGGTCCCGCTGGATTTCCAGGCAGGAAAGAGGTGCCGATGGTCCCGGGGGTCTGTGAGGAGGGAAATATCGCCGGGGCTCTGTGAGGAGGGAAATATCGCCGGGGGTCTGTGAGGAGGGAAATATCGCCGGGACTCAGCCGAGGGCCGTTCCAGCGGGGTGCAGCTCTCCGGCCCTGCCGGCTCTGTATCGCCCTGCACAGCCCGTGAAATCTCCTTTCGCTGGACTGAAAACCTCCTGGAGCCCTTGGGGCTCTTGAGCAAGAGTCCCCAGCGATGCCGTGACGGGGAATTTGGGCTGTGCCGGGAGCGACGGCGCTCTGTGACCGTCCCTGGAAGCTGCGGCCGCTCAGGGAAGGGCTCTGCGTTCAGCCGGCACCGGGGCTCGCTGCCGGGGCKMGCCGAGCCCTGGMAAAGAGCGATTCCGGCAGGGAGGARAGGGTCAGACGCGGCCCTGGCCGTGTGGAAGCAATTTGCAGCCGTCGGGGCCGCCGGCCGTTTCCGCTCCCCGCCGGCGGGTCCGGGGCCCCGCGGACACGCCGGTGCCCGGTGTGGGCTCCTCATTAGCGCAGGATGGGGGGACAGAGCTGCCCGAGCCCGGCCCTGCCCTCCCCAAAGCCGGCGGGGTCTGCAGGGCCCGCTCCGCTCCTGCCCCGAGCGCGTCCGGAGGGGCCGGGCTGCAGCACACTGCGGCCATTCAGCGCGGCCGCCCAGCCCGCCCGTGTGTAAACAGCCCTGCCCGGCCCTCAATGAGCCCTTTTTTCCGCGGCTCCCCCCGGCCGGGGCTCCAGGATGCCCTCCCGGCCCGGCTGTCGCCTGCCCCCGCTCCGTCTCGGGGTCGCTTTGCCGGCGCGGCCGCTCGGGAGCTCCGGGGAAGCGGCGCTGCTCCCCCCGAGCCGGCTCCGCTGATTTCTCTGAGTTTTAATGAGCTCCTGGCTGAACCGGCGGCTGCTGGTGCCCTCTGCCCACTGCTGTCACCCCACATGAGGCCCTGTGGTCAGCCAAGCTGTTTATTTTGGGATAAAATCTCAGTGCTGGCAGACTCCTGGGATGGCCACAGTGCCATGAGCAGCAGGGGCTGGGGGTCCCGATCTGGCTGCGGGTCCTTGTGGTGCCCTCTTGGTGCTGGGGTGGGGGTCACTCCTGCCCACGCCATTCCTGGCACCAAGGCGATCCCCCAGGAGCGCGGGGATCCCATGGCATCCATGGTCCTTGGCATGTGGACCACGCAGAGAATCTCAACATTCCTGCACCCCAGCACAGCCATTGCACTCCGTGTCCTCACCGGGCMGTGCCAGCCCGGCCCTGGCAGCCACAGTGGCACAGCCGGGCTCCTTTTTGGGGGTCCGCCTTGGCTGGGGGCGTGTGGGGTCTGTGGCAGGGCAGGTAACGAGGCTGCCTCCCCTCTCCCTCTGCTCTCCCCACAGGCTGCTGAGCAACAACAAGATCACGGTGCTGGAGAACAGTTCATTCTTGGGGCTGCGCGCTCTGGAGAAGCTGTGAGTGGGGGTCGGCCGGGAGGGCGGGGGGCGGCGGGATGCAGGCAGGGCTTTCCTGGCGGGTGGTGGCATCAGCACTCGCGTTCTGCYCCTGATGTGCTGCACCATGGCACAGAATTGCCAACGGGCACCCACGGGCATCGCGGGGACCSCGGAGCTGCAGCGGGGCGGGAGGACCGGGGGGCCGCGCTCCTCGAGGGCCGGTATGAAAAGCGACATTGTCCCCTCAAACAAAGTCAACGTTCTTATCTCTCCATGAAAGGCATCTCTATGGAGGGAGCTGCGAGAAGGGGAGATTTATGGCCCCATATGGGTTTGATCTGTAGGTATGCAGGCGCGGGGACCGGCACTGAGGGCGTTTTGTTCCGCGCCGCGGCCCCGAAGGGTYTCGGGAATTCCTGCACTGTGCGGGCTCCCGAGAAATCCCCACGGGATTGCTTTTGGGGTGAGTGGGAAGCGGTCACCCTAGGGACACCATCCCACATGGCTGAGTCCTGCCAGCACGGGTGCAGGTGTGGGGTCACCGCGTGCTCCTGGCGCTCTGGTGAACAGGAAGGATCAGTGTGGGATCGGTGTGGGGTCACGGTGCAGCCACACATGGGGACTCTGCAGCCCCGGGTGCCCCGAAAGGTCCCCGTGTCCTGGGAGAGCGGCCACCCCAGGTCACCTCCTGCTCGCCACGGGGTCAGAGAGGGCCTGGAGAGGGTGGGCAGCACTCCCCCAGCCCAGCCGGCCGCATCGCGCTGTGCCGCGCCTGATCGCCCTCGACAGGAGCCCCAATTGTTTTCATCGGGTCGGTTCGGGGCCGCCGCACAGAGGTGCCCCATGGAGAGCCCGTGCTGGCACTGCGGGGACACCGGGGGGGCTCGGGGACCCCTCGCTTCTCATGGTGGGGCTGGCAAGGCCCCTGCCCACCCTGTGCCCACCGTGGGTGCTGTGCAGTCCCAAACAATTGGGAGATCCCGTTCTCTGGATGTCCCCACAGACCACCTCCCCTCCGCCTTGGCRTCCGCGGTGATTTGTAGCGGCCTAATGAGATTAATGAGTCTGAGCGGGGACGGTATGCGGCAGCGCTCATTAGCGGAGCCCTTTAGGAACGGCCCCGCGGGGATGCGAGGGGGCTCGGTGGGTGACAGCAGGGACAAGGACAGACTCTGTCTGTCTGTCTGTCTGTCTGTCTGTCTGTGCTGGGCTGCGCTGGGTGCGCAGGGAGCCGCGGGCTCACCCCAGGGTGCTCCGGGCAGTGAATCGGGATGGCTCCGGTCCTTGGGAGCGGGGTTTGCTGCCATGGGGGGCTCTGTGCACTCGTGCTCATGGTGGGGTGTCCCCATGCCCTGGTGACACCGAGCCACTGCTGTCCCCAGCGCCACCCSGCCAGGGCAAGGGGAGGAGGGGGCTCGGCAGAGAAGGAAACGCGAAGGCAAACAGGCAGAGCACAGAGAGGAACCTTATCGGAAAGCAGCAGAGCAGCCCCGGCCCTGGCCCGAGAGAGGAAATGCCTGAGGGAGGAAGGCTGGGCTGGCTGCAAATCCCCGGGGCCCAGCGCGGTCCCCGCAGGGTCCCATCCCTGCCCGGTGGCCCCTGCAGCACCCAAATCCCACAGACCTGAGCCAGGGGCCCCA